TTTTAAACATTTGAGCCAAATAATAAAAAGATGGGGGCAAAATATAAATTATCAATGGGGGCATAACCAAAACTCTTTAGATATTATACTAATTTGTACAAAGTCATGGGGGGCAACTGCCCCCTCCTTGTATAACCTACCTCCGCCCCTGATAGTGTATTGAGATTGGTTGCTAGTTTTGGTAAAAAACTCTTTTATGTGTAAGTGATTCAGCTTTGATCATAATACTATGCTGCTTACCAAAAAAAAAACTCTTTTGTTTTGGTTTTCTAACATATGCAACATATAATCAGGCGTCAAGCTGGTCCTTTGGCAGAATGTTTGCGGAAAAACATGAATAAGGTTTTCTATGCAGACCTCCCAACTTCTTACATACAACACATCAAGTCTAAAGTTGTACCAAGTCATGAATTTTGTATTGAGGAGGAAAAGGAAAGATACATTGTGAAGGTACTTATTTTGTTGTCTTAGACTAATCCTTTGGATGTCATTTTGAATGTACTTTGTTGTGTCCGGCTTCTATTCTCAGGTATCGCATTATATTCGTCCCAATGAAACCATCTAATGTAAATGTATCCTTAAAGAAGATGGACGGCTCAGCTGCTTAGTATGTACATGGCAAGTCTAGTGTTCTTTGTTCTTGATCTGTGCCATATTTTTACTTGGTTTATCTTCTAACATCTTACATTGAAGCTTGTGTTTTTTTGCTTTTGCATAGGTCGAGCTTAATCTTGTTAGGCATTTGGTTGTAGATGTGTCATGCATTGATAAGAATCTTGACATGAGACTGATGCTCACTGCCAAAAGGAAAATGACAACTCTCACCGTGAGTTGAATATCATATCTTGGATTTCTTCTGGCTAAATTATGACTCTCTTGGACTTTAACTTGGGTTAAATCTTTCTATGATGGGTAGGAGAAAGAGATAAGTAACATCAAAGGGCTACTGGATCCAGCGACTGTTGATCCAAATGTGAAAGGCGGTTTGAGGTGGATTCTTCAAGGTTTTGGTCCCCTTCTCTGCTGATTCAACCCGTTGAATGTTTTAATATTCAACTGTTGAATTTATTGTAAATAGCCTAAGACTTTTCTCCTTCTCTCTTGAAAATCACTTTTCTCTCTGAGTTCTTGATCTTGAAAGTTTTGTTTTCTCTGTTTTTTTCTTTTGGTAGTTTCAGGTTTAGACATGTCTTATATTCCTCCACATGAGCGAGAGGATCCGAACACACCTTCCCCTGTTACCAAATCCAAGAAGAACCTCAACTTTACGAGAACCGATGATGTACTCGACCGTACAGATGAGCTTCCTCCATCTGTTAATCTTGTGCCCTTGTCCTCGGTTAATCTTGTGCCTGTGTTCTTGGATTCTCTCCAAAGCAGAAATGGAGTAAAGCCTTCGATATTGATGAACAACAATGTCCAAAAAGGTAAAGAGACTGTGTTTGATAGTGTCTTAACACGCAGAATCCGAAATTTGGCTATGTGTTTTGACAAAGAGACTATTTTGTCATGCCAAAAGATGTCTTTTTTAGTGTGGTTTTTGTATATGTTTATACTCAGTGAATATGAATATTGGAGAGAGCGAAGAAGAAGAGAGAACTCGGTGGCTTTCGTTAGTAGCAGAGAAGGTCGAGGAGGATCTTTTGTTGGCTTATGAACGAGCTAAGGCTGCTGCAATGGAGGATGAGGAGCATCATCATGTATTGAGATTGGATGCTAGGTTTGGTAAAATTTTCTTCTATAGGTAAGTGATTCAATGGAGGAGGAGGAGCATCATGATTTTGTTCCCCATTGTTTCTCTAATAACTTATACAAATACAACTTAATTAAAAAGCAGGCGTAGAGCTAGTCCTGCGGTTGAATTTTCACGTAAAAATTCGAGTAAGATGTTCTCTACTGATGTCCCAACTTCTTACATACAATACATTAAGTCTACGGTTGTACCAAGCCATGGATTCTGTATTGAAGAGGAAAAGGAAAGATACATTGTGAAGGTACTTGTTCTGTTTCTTAGACCTATCGTTCAGATTTCATTCAAATATGTTTTGATTGTGTCTGGCTTATGTTCTCAGGTATCACATTCTACTGGTGCCAATGAAACCATCAACTGTAAATGTACCCTTAATGAAGATGGACGGCTCAGTATGTACAAGGCAAGTCTCATGTTCTTTGTATAAATGTGATAAGAACCAGAGTATAGAACAAGACTTTATTGACTTCATTGAGAAATATTGTTCTGAAAACATATGATTCATCTCATCATTGATATTACCTTGATATGTGCCATATTTTTACTTAATTTGCCTTCTAACATCATACATTGAAGCTTGAGTTTTGCTTTTGCACAGGTCGAGCTTAATCTTGTTAGGCATTTGGTTGTCGATGTGTCGTGCATTGATAAGAATCTCGACATGAGGCTGATGCTTGCTGCCAAAAGGAAACAGAAAAAGACGGCTCTCACCGTGAGGATATTTGTATTTCTTCTGGATAAGTTATGCTTCTCTTGAACTTAAACTTGGGTAAATCTTTCTATGATGGGCAGGAGAAAGAGATAAGTAACATTAAAGGGCTACTAGATTCAACGACGGTTGATCCGAATGTGAAAGGCGGTTTAAGGTGGCCGCCTGGTTCCGGACGTAATTACAGAATATTTGAAGCTTGTCACGTTAAATTTACAGTCTACAGAAGCCAAACTCTAAGGCTAAGGGTAAGAAAGACTGATAGATTCAATGAGAGGATTGGAAGAGGGGAAATCAAGAGTGAGGTGGCTTTGATGCTTAAAGACATCAATACTAAGTTACAGGTAAGTTATTGTACATTTTGCATCCTTTGAAACTCTATTTGGAAGTGAGGCTTATAGTGATTATTATACTCTTGTGGTCTTGCAGGAGCAGAACATAGAGAAGGGTTGTGTTTTGGGAATGCTTAAAGATGCGTCCTGCATTGCGATGCTTACATTATGTAATAAAGAACCATATGACTAAATACATCAAAACTGCAGGTATTTAGACTTGGTCCGTAGCTATAAAAAGCAGGTCATTCCGAGCCCCTTAAACCAGGTGTGCTATAAGTTCCACCGCTTCATCCATCAAACCTTTCTCGCATAACCTGCAAATGACATCCTCGGCTCTTGAACTCTTAATCACCAACTTCCTTTTAAACGCTTCCTCCAATAAACCGTGAGCACAAACAACCTCGTCTTCTTCAATAAATGCATTAATCATAATATCATATGTGTGGCTGTTCCGGTCAACCCCATTTGTCTCCATCTCTTTCCATAGAGTCTTAGCTCGACTCATATCCCCGGCTTTAACCAATGCCTTTATCAATATATTGTATGTAACTACATTAGGCTCAGAACCTAGCTTTTCCATAGAAGACATCATCTTTATGGCGCCTTTAATATCGTTTTGCTTGCATAAGCCATTGATATACACATTATAGGTATAAACATCAGGTGTCAAACCTAACAAGAGCAGCTCATCAAACAACTTGTCTGCTTTTGAGTAATCCTCATCCGCAATAACCCCTTGCAATATAATTGTATAACAAACAATATCAGGCTCTATTCGATCGCATTTCATCTGGTTCAGTACACTCACAACTTCTTTCCCCCTTCCTCCTTCAACCAAGAACCTCATTACGGCTGTATAATCCCGTAAATCTGGCGTAAACCGAGTTTTTCTCAGTTCTTCCATATATCCAATGATATCGAAAAACAAAGAGTCCTTGTGTTTACATACAGAACTCAGCAACCGAGTGTATAATCTCGGATCAACAATAAAACAATCATCACTCATGTACTTCACTAACTCAGTGGCGTAATCTACCTCGCCGATTCTACAGAGAGCATCGATCAATATCCTGAAAGTCAATTCCTCTAACCTTACACCCATTCTACTAGCTTTCAACAAAATCTCAGGTACCATTTTAAGACTTTTTCTCTTCCTCACAAGAACTAAGAGCAATGCATTAAGCGTGTATGCAGAAGGCACGCACCTGAAATTAGGGATTTTGAAGAAAACTTCGATTGCTTCTTCGATTCTACCTGAAAACCCATAAGCAAAGATCACGTCTTTGAAAATGGATTCAGGTGTATCGAACTTCTCGGAGATTTCGAGGTGATTGAGAACAGATCTCATGTTCTCGAGCTGTGAGGTTTTGGTTAGGGTTTTGATGACGAATCTGTAAGCTTGAGGAGTGGGTTCGCAGTTATGGAGTTGGAATGAGGTTATTAGGGTTCGGATAACACCATCGTTCTCGATCGAGCTTGAATTTGAGACGAAAAGACCGTGTTTTAGCTCTTCCATGGCGGATTTCTGCTTGAGAGTTTCGTTCCATTTGGTTTTGAAAGAGGAGTGAGGGAATTTTCGATATTTTCTCAGGAAATTTGAGATTCGGTGCCACGAAGAAGATCTTACCATTTCCAAATCGATGGGTTGATTGTACAGTCGAAGTAAATTAGAATACAGAGACCGGAAATCTGGAAGCCATGGAAGACAGTTTCATAAAGCTTCTTCTTCTCCAATGCAGAGGAAATTGATGAAATATACAAAACATGTGAATTTCAAAATAATAATCGATGGTTTCTAAGTACCGGTTAAAAAAAAAAAAATCGATTTAACTGGTTTTTTTTTTTTGTTGTTGATAAAAAGATAAATTTTGAAACTGTTTTAGAGTTAAAAATAGGAAAATTACATAGTAAAACAAACTTTATTATTTGAAATTCATTTGTTGACCTTTTAAAATCAGTATAAAAAAATTATAAATCCTACATAAATTTTGAAATTAATTAGGAAACAAAATGCTATCGTAAAAATAATTAATCATAAAATCTGGTTTTAAACTCTTACTGATGTATTTATTTCTATAATTATCCTTAAGAAAACATATTTGGATATATGAGATCAGATGGAATC